ACGGCAAGCCGCGCAACCTCGTCAAGCCTGATATCGCGCCCCCGGCTTCTTCACGCGCTCGGCTGGCATCAAGGCCACGAACGAATACGTCAAGATGGCCGGTACGTCGATGGCCGGCCCCCACCGTCGCTGGTGTCGTCGGTCTCCTCAAGAGCTCCAAGGCCGACTTGACGTACGAGGAAGTGTACGCCTACGTCACCAAGTACGCCTTCACCAAGACGTTGACGCCCGAGCCGGCCACGTGGGTCGGCAAGGCCAACGCGACGCTCCCGGGCGCGCCCAACTGCGGCGGTGTCTCGGACGCCTCGTTCCCCAACAACCGCTACGGTTTCGGTCGCGTCGATGTCGCCAACATGTACGACAACGGCAAGCTCAAGCCGGTCAACCCCAACCCTGCCTGCTAAGTGTGCTTTCGTCGACTGCCTCTTTTGAGCGGACGTAACTCGTGTGAATCCATGTCATTCCCCTCTACTTTGCTTTCTAGTCTCTTGAGTAATGGGATCGAATCTTTAAGTTGGTTCTACCAGCTACTGTAGCTGACCAGCGCGCATTAAATTTTCGCCTCGATTGGCAAAGGTGCTTGTGGAATATGCGAGTGGAAACTATCCCGTGTGCACCAGCCCGGCAATGCTGCCAAGAACGCTCCAGAGATCCTGGCGGCCACCAGACACTACTGTACATATCTGTGCCAGCGTGTCGTGCTCTGTCTGTTGTTGACAATAGGCAGGATTAAACACTATTTCATTCCGGTGTCGCCAAGTCGACAACGCGACACCGAGTAGACACATCCAACCAGTGTACTGTCTAATCCTCTGTGGACGTGCTCGACAGTTTCGTTTCGAAGCCAACTCGAAAGTGGACACAAAACGGATGCCGTCATCTCGGTCTCGGGACGTGATCACGTCTTTCCATTCGCCACAAGCTAAGGGCATCCACATGACATACTGTCTACTACGTGGCACTTGGTTCAGAGTTCATAGAGTCGAGCGATCGGCTAGGTGTGTGCAAAAGACCGACCTCGAGTCGAATCTGCGTTCGGTCGTTTGCCAGTGGTGCACGAGGAGAGACTCGTCAACATATAACCCGGCGGCGTGGATCTGGCACCTCTACGGCGTCTGATAACGGGTTACCAGCGTGTCCGAGGTCCAGCGCTCCATGGCTGGGTGCATTGCTTGCCAAATCAATCCCAATGAATTGCTGACCGCACACGCCGTTGGAGCCGCCGAGTGCCACTGTGCAGGCGATCGGTCGCGGCTGTTTCGGGCGTTGCACCGATGAACGCAACTCAGATTGCACCATGTTTCTGGGTACAATGCAAATCTTTCTCAGGGTCCAAACTTTGTTGTTGAGCTGAGTTATATTACATGCAATTATATAAGATATGGAAAACGTCCTAATGCGCTCGTGAGGCGTGGCTGGTGCTTCCGCGAGGAGCGTTAGTGGTCGTGATTCGGAACTGTGCGAGGGACCAGGTAGCGTGCACACCAAGGGTCGTCGCGGAGAGTGTTGAGTGACGCGTCAAGAGTTGGCACCACAGCGCGCGGGATGAGCCAGGTGCCGGACATGCAATCGTGCGATAGTAGCTTCCCGGATCGCAGCGGGAAGTTGAGTCAGCGCAGGTCCTGACTTTGATTCGCGTTGGCCGCATGTCTGGTCTCTACGGCCATTTCCCATCCTCACCAGCACATGCCACTCTGCCTTCTCAGATAGAGCTGCGTGTCACTCTCCTCCAAGCCACTCGAGAATCTGATATTGTACCCAACCAGATCCCTCTTGCGAGCACGTCTGCCAGCTTCATT